ATTGTGGTGATACAAAGAGACAAGGATCGACGATGAGATTAGGGTTATGGCTCAAAGATGTTGTTAGGCAATAGGCTCTGATACCATGTAAGGTTATCAACCGTGAGAATTATCATTGATGCAAGGGTATATTTATACCCATAAGATTACATTTTACAAGTGTGAGTAGGAGACTAATTACAAGAGGAATAATGAGTACAAATCCTAATATTATACGAACAAAGTCTTGTCCCTAATAAGGTTAAGTGTATATGATAAGTTATGATTGAACGCACAATAATTATACTAAATTTGATAGTTGATCTTTAATGGTTCAATTTTTAGGGTAATTCGAACAATTTTACAAATAACTCGTTTGGCAACAGTTTACTGAAGTTATTAGGGCAATGAGTTATTTTGAAATAACTTCTTTTACCACTTTGCTTTTGACAAATACCACACGCCAAATACCATATTTGCATGGTTATACTAAACGAGATACTTTAATCCAATTACTAATGAAATAATATTAAAATACCAAATAACTAATTAATGGTATCTTTTGGTTGCAAATGTTGATAACCATTACTATTAGCTAGTGTACTTTACCAATTACGATTAATTATATAACAAGTTTGCAAGTCATATAAATTGATTTAATATTTTGACTAGTTTTTTTAAAATTAAGTATATATACGAGGTAGAAAGAAATTGGTTAAAAATAGAGAAAAATATTTTAAATTAGTGTAATAAAATGTGTAATTGGTAACGAATAAGGAGTAAGTTACTCAATGCGCTGACCTGAACAACCCGCAATCCGCCCGACCCAAAACTCGATGAACCCGTAACCCGATTTGCCCGCAACCCGATTGAACCCGAACCCAATGAACCCTCAACTCGATAACCCGCAACCCGCTTGAACCTGAACCCGATGAATCCAAACCCGATAAACCCCCAACCCGATGAACCCGCAACCCGTTTGAACCCGAACTCAATTGAACCCAGCCTGAACCCGCCCGAACCCGACACCTAAGCACTTGGTTGTCAGAGGCGAAGAGATTTTGATAGAAAGTACTGGCAATGTATGCCTTTCCATTCTCCTAGTGATCCACTCTCCATTATCATTCTACAGGAAGGACATAAAATTCCATTTTCTACGAGCCCGCGTGATCGTATGGAAATACGAAGTATTTTGATCACCCTATTTTAGCCACCAGACTCGAGATTTTTGCTGCCAGTAAAGCTCCTCCGCTTCCCATTTCTAGGACCCGCACTTCGTCCCAGTTAATGGGGTGAAGAGCTTTAATCCAGTCAATTTCAGCTTGTAGAGTTTTGATATTGCGGAGAGAGTTTGTGGTACCCGCCCTACTCCAATCATAGAGCAAATGTCGAAGCTTAAGTTTTTCCCATAGTTGGAACATCGGAGTACCTTGGATGGATTCCTGCCACACATAATTCACCATAGCCTGACTTCAGGGTTCGACGCCCAACGAGCATCAAACCGAAAAGGGGGCGACTGTTTCGAACACAGGGCTTATCTGTTAAGAGCAGGGCCCGATGATCCGACCCTGGATCCGTGAAATGCTTTACAAGTGTATCCAGGAATCGATTAACCCACATTTGAGAGCATATAGCTCTGTCTAGTCTTTCACGAATACACACAGTCCCCATACGTTTGTTTGTCCAAGTGAATTGGTCACCTTGGAAATCAGGGTCATGGAGACCAAGATCCTGAATAAATTCACGTAGGCTAATTGCCTGGGTAGCATTCCACGGATTTCCACCACCCTTTTCACTCTCATGCAGAGTAGTGTTAAAGTCACTTATTACCACGAAGGGGAGATGAATTGCGCCGCAGACTTCCCGGAGTTGAGTCAATTGATCGACTCTTATTGCAGTATTACAACTAATGTAAACACAAATCACAACGTAAGAAAAATCCACATCATTAATATAGGTACAAATACAGAAGTTGGAATGAAAAAAACACTGAAGCATCAACTTCGGTGGACCAAGCAAAAACAAGACCACCAGATGCATTCATAGCATCGACAAAGAAACAGTGCGAAGACTCAAAACCTAACCCCCTCATACGACGGGAAACTATTCTCCGACATGCTCTTGTCTCTAAAAAGAAGACAAGGTCCGGGTTATTCGAATGAACTAAACCAACAGCAATTTGGAATGTAAGAGATGGTCCAATTCCTCTTACATTCCAGGCAAGTAGCCTCATTTATCTTCCTGGGACCATTTTAGGCTGGTTTCCTCCACCGGATGAGAATTCTCTTTTTCTTCCACAAACTGTTTCTTTGGGGTAGGGGGTTCACATAAGTCCCCATCCATTTCCTTTAACGATCTTTTCCTTTCTCCAATTTTTGGATCGCCATAATTGGATCCATACTCATTCAGACCAACCAATCCTTCTTCTGCAATGTGTGCAAGTTCAGTCTCATGCACAAGACCATCCAACTCTGTTCCAGCCTCATGTTGGGGAGAGCAAAATTCCTTGTGCAGGCTCATCCCTGCTCCGAAGGCTTTCCCCACCTGCTGGACACGACCCTGATTAGCCTGATGGGTATGGATCGCGGCTATGGATTTCCTGCTTCTCACGAACCAAATTACATGGTGCTAAACTGATGTCGATCCCATTATTCAACTCCATCATTCTAATGTCAATCCATCAAAGTAATCCATATGCTCGTTTGTTAATACGTGTTTTGCATTGTCATTACTGTGACAGATAACTTCGCTACAGCAGATTTGGTATTGCTCATCGTGTGGCCTCCAAACTTTTAAACATATTGGCCCGGTAGTTTAATTACAAAACTCAAACGAAGGCAACTCATCACCTACTGGAATTTTGGCGCTTGAAGGTAAATAATCAAATGTGCATAAACTTATAACAATGACAACTGTCTAGATAATATAGTGAGTTCATTATATATTTTTACTCAAACTTTAGAATCACACACACCCATAATGTTTTCACTCTTGCTAACATGTTTGTTACTACAGGGTCATCTCGCCAATGCTTATTCTTCTTCCCAATCCATGACAACATAGATTTCCCCCTCTAACTTTACCATAAGTAACCGATGACATCATCGATGGTAAATTAGTGAATATTGAAGATGCTTTCTGTCACACCAATTATAAAGTTCGTCAAAAGAAAACTTGGAGGTTTGGATGATTGCAAATGCATAGTGTTGTTAATCTTCATACTATCCACATCTCAAGAACACATGTCATTGTTTTCACAATTCTCCTTCTATTCATTAGATTTCCTCTATGCTTTCCAACAGAAATAATGGAATTTCTGGCAACCAAACACGAATCATTTGTCTCATAATGATTTGAAAGGGTCGTCCGACCAACGAGTCAGGTATAAGACAACCAAACTCAAATCATTTGTTTTGGAATAATTCGAAAGAGTAATCCGACCAACGGGTCAGGTGTAAGCTAGTACTTAATCACACTAGCTGATATTTGATATTTCATTTAGCGGGTAAAATACCTCGGGTACTACTTAAGTTTGATAATTGGGGCAGATATACCACTTAAGTTTGAATAGGGCGTCGGGTACCACTGAACTCTATTATTTGTGCATCTGCTACCACTTAAGTTTAATGTTTAAGTGCATTCCGTTAAAGTTAACATAATATTTTTGGAAGATTCTGTTTTCTAAATTTCTTAATTGGTCTTTCTACTTTTCTTATTGTAAAAAATCATTTTGACTTATGAAAAACATCAATTTTTATTATTTAGTTGGTATCCTCTTTTGAAGACTTGATACCAAATTAATTTTTAAATAGATAATTTAGAATCAATTATTATTATAAGTATTTTCAATTATCATTATGTTTACTAATAATTGAATTATTCTCTGAAGAAAATATATTCTATGAATTATGTTTAGTTGGAATCCTCTTTTGAAAACTCTGATACCAAACCAATTTTTGAATAGGAAATGCAGAATCAATTATCATTATAAGTATCTTAATTACTGAAATATGTTTAATTCTTTTTTATTGTGTTCCGTTTATCATTCTTTGGTCTTGATGCATTGATGATCAATTAGATTCTATTTTAACTTTTGTTAATGGTACTTCTAATTGAATTAGGGGTTTAAATAGTCTTCTAATATTAATTTTAAATATTTATTATTATATTATTTATATTTATTATTCTTCTTGATATTTATTTATTATTTTTACTAATTTATCTATTTTATTGCCAATATTGATTAGCCATTTTAGTAATATTATGTTTATAAGGTTTTTTCATTTCTATATTAGATAAAAACTTGTTAAAATATAGTTTTGGATTTTTTTAAAAGTTTTAGGTACCAAAAAGTACTTAAAATTTTGGATTGGATGGAAAACTAGACGGATGCACATTTTGACGACTTTAATGGTGTCATGCGCCCTATTCAAAGCTAAGTGGTATGTCTCTCCCAAATCTCCAAGGTTGTCAACCCGCGGGTTGACTCGGACTCGGTCGAGCTAGTGGGTCAAGGGTTAACGGGTCACCCGTTTTAGCCCATTTTAGCCCGAAATATGGAAAGAGTCATTATATTATACTTATCCTGATAAATTATATCAAATCTCATCTAACATATGAGTAATAACATATAACATTACACCAAAGTAACATGTCGTACTTAGATCCAACATATAGTGAAATTTCACACACTTATATAACATCAATATTCAAATGTTCAACTAAGGATTCCAAAAATTGAGTTAGGCGAAAAGAAAAATTGGAAAATAGGCGCATTTCGCAAACCAAAGAAAAAAATGACACAATTTGACCTCCAACTCGATACCTTGTAACGGTCGACTCAACAAGTGCGTTCAACCCATTTTTCTCATCAGGATCAAAATGGGTTTACCGCGGGTTAACAACTTTGCAAATCTCAAACTTTTAAGTGGTAGTTGAGGAAATACCCTTCATTTAGCCATTTACAAGAGCGCGTGGTAAGTGGTAAACCGGTCATTGTTCAAACGAATAAAAAGGCAAATCTAGAGAGGCCGAGCCGAGGGGTTCTAAAGTCCTCGTCATCATTCGTCCACAATCGCTCTTGGAGTTCCACCACCGTCTCGCTGTAGACCTGCCGTTTCCCCCGTCGGCGAGAGAGAGTTGATCAGCGGACTGAATCGCCGGTTCGATACCGCATCTGAAGGTTCAGAGAAAAGAGAAACGGAGGCCGTCGAACTCCCTTGTATTGTTTCGCAGCAATTTTCCTTTCCAGTGTATCTATTTGGATACCTTCCCAATCGCATCTTCTGGTTGGCTGACAATTCGGCAGTGATAAACTCTAGATTTCTCTGTAAGAATCCATAACGAGCATCAGGGAGATCCATTCATATGCATGTTCTGCTTTTATGGTTGCTTCTTCTTGCCCTAATGGCGTTCGTTTGCTTGACGGGCCGCTGAATAATGCAGGAGGGAAGAATGGAGGAGCAATTCATTCTCAGAGTTCCGCCTTCTGTTGCCGAGCGCTTAGAATCCCTTCTGAACGGAAGTGCAGCTTCTCCCGAAGAGCAAGCACTGGATTTGTCTTTCTCTGGTGAGGCTATCCATAATCCCTTTTCCTTTTCGGTTGAGCTTCTCAAGCTTCCAGCTAGAGCTGTAAAAACGTTAGGTTGCATTTAGTTATTCATTCTAAGAACTCAGAACAATTGGAATCATCAAGGATTCTTCTTCCTATACCATTTTTTTCCATCCAAACTTGCTATTCATGAACTTCCCCTCTGTGTATGCTTGATGGGCTTTGCAGAGAATGGACGGAGTGGCACATTTAGCATTGGCAATGAGCAATTCCCTGCATCTCTCTTGGATCTCCCTTGTGTGACGGAGTCCTATAAGACGTATGATGATCGAGCTCTGGTTAAAACCGCAGACATCGGCCAGGTACGTTGTTATAGTCGTGTGACTACTACTACATTAAGAGCGCAATTTACTGTGAGATTTTTTACAGATGATTATGGTTAGAGGACCGAATGAATCAGCTCCAGATACAATTGAGTACAGACATGGTCTCACTCCTCCTATGAGGGATGCTCGGAAAAGAAGATTCAGAAGAGAGCCTGACCTCAATGTATGATGATCTGAGCACTCGTTTACCCTTTTGATTAAATTTCATCGTGCATTTCTCTGACGTAATAATAGCTGTATGATCAGAAAGCAGCTGGCTTTTTTTGATTTGGTTGGATTTTGAGCAACTAATGCCTGCATCTTTTTCTATTCAGTCCAGTCAATACTTAAATGTTTGTGTGTTTTATTACTTGCAGCCTGAGCTTGTGCAACGCGTTGAGAGAGACCTATTGAACATCATGGCTGGTGGAACAGTAGAAAATGGTGATATCCTTAGATTCATACTGCCAAGCTTTACTTATTGAGTCTAATGCTTTCACACACAAGTCCTTGACTTGGCTTCCTTACTTGCTGAAGTGAACGAGCAAGAAGATGGGAACCAGAATGTATCTAGTGCCAATAAGAAACCTGCACCAAAGCCCGTGACAAAGCCTGAGGCTCCACCAACAACAGCTAATGCTGAGGAGCCAGAAAGAAGTGATTCTGATGATACTGAGGACTCAGCGTGATGAGAATGCGTGCCTTCTCATCTTACCGAACTCGGGTTAGTGTGTACAGTGCTCTAATGTTCCTTTATCTCCCTCTGTGCTATATGTTGGGCTGAGGTTTTTTCCAATCTGTGTTGTCCATTTCTTGGAAGCTTTCGAGGAGAGGCTTCTTTCAAATGTAGGAAGAACTGAGGAGAGGAAGAAAGCTACAGAAATGTAGGCAAGGATGGGGAACAACTGAGTTTGGCTGGAATCTATTGATAGTGGTGATGTTTAGAGGATGTTGAGCTGATCCTTTCCGTTTTACATTTTATTTGTGGACGGGAATCAAGATAAGTGAGCTACAGTTCCTTCTAAGGTGTGGCTATGTAAGATGAAAGTCATGAAAGTGTACCCGTCTATGGATGCCACAGCTGATAGTTTATACTGAGTTGAGAATTCCAGTCTCCATAGCATAGCTTCGCCAAAGATTAATGCTAATTCTTTTTTGTAAATCATTTTTCAATCCCATGTTTGAGCGAATGTGAATATAACAACAAAGGCCACACCCAAAACAAAGACCAAGAAATGAAGCGATAAGCTTCCCGCCAAGGCTTATAGAAGCAAACAGAGAGGCTTCATTATATATATAGATCTCTCTGCTTCTATATCGTTTGGCTCTCTCGCCTTCAGTTCTGCCTCTAGCAAAAGTCTGATCTCGCTCGATCTGATTTGGGGAATGTTATTTTAGATCAAATTGTAGATAAGGGAAGGTGCGGATCACAGATCATATCACGGGGCAAGAAAGATGATTACATGCAGCCAGTTCGATGTGAAGCGTCTCTTACATCGCAGAGCCCGACGATGATGTCTGATCGATTTCGGAGAGCCACAACTTCGTTGTTGCAACTTGTAATGTGTAATTGATATACATGAAATGAAGTGGATATACAGGGCAATAGTGCGGTAAGCCAGTAACGATGCTCTATCATCTTTCGATCAAGTTTTTGTCCGGAAAAAAAAAACAAGAGTTACATCAGGAATTTAGTTACCAACTGGACAGAACGAATGTGCATCACCAGTCGTCCTCCAAGCTAGCTCGATGAAAACACATGACTGTGCATACAAAGATGAAGAACGACGTGAACTCGATGAACATTGCCCCTGTTTCAATCATATTGGCATGTCTAAGGATGATAGGAATCGCTAAGCTCCCAACGGCTGATGCTCCAGTGAGGAACTTTGCAGCATCTATCCAACTGCAGTTTAGCAACAGCACAAGCTTTAAGGATGAACAACTTTTTTTGCAAAAAAAGAAAAGTAAACCCCACAGAAGTCTAATGATCAGAAACCAGTTAGCCGAATGAAGGTAAAGATGTAAGTACACTCACCCGCCACCATCCCGGCTTATAAGAAACTGAGTTGATCCACCTCCAAAGAATAAACAAGGCATAGGCACTAGCACATACATAAGAGCTGCAGCGCACAATGATTTTTGTATCATGATTCAAGAACCTCTCCAAATCCAAATTTTGTAGTGTTCACGAATTAATAACACCAAACCTGATAACATGGGCCACCAATTGTTGTATATTGCACAGGCCTGAAATGACAGAAATCAGGAGGGTGAAACTTTTCGTTAAACAACATGGTACAATGTCCTGACCGTAATATTTATAGCAATCACTTTGATTTCATTCCATGTACACTGATGCAGTGGAATAGAAGATTCAGAGATGGGTAAAGAAAAAAGCATGTTCAAGTTTGGAATGCATGCATTGGAACTTGGAAGATTCATAAGCACAAAGCCCTAGAGATCTACAAGCTGATTGAGTGCCAAAAGTGCAGCAATCAGCAGAACTTCTAAAAAATTGAGTATCATACAGCAGGCAACAGGAAACAAAACAACAAGTACTTCATCGGAAAGAATCACGAGAACATCTTATAAGATATAACCAGATCCTCCTCTGGCATCACAATAAAAAACCATCTGACCAACCAGCTCCTAGCAAATTTAGATTAATAACCAGAGGTCAGCCTAAACCCAGTTCATAGTAAAGAGAGTTAATTAGTTCTTTCTCAGTTCATTTTCATCATATAGATCTTAAGATCAGTGTTGAGAACTAAAGAAAGCAGGCTAGATTTAACTGATTAACACAAGAATTCAAATTGCTAACTGATGCGCTTTGGTTGGAGTTGTTACAACTTTTGACAACGCAAGTCCTGTATCAAATTCCTTAATGATGCTTCCTTGTTTGTCAGTTCTAGTTAGTTTCTATAAGTACTGAACAACATCTGAATGACTTCTTGGATAAATTTTAACGTTTTTGAGTAACAATATGGTTCTTTTCCCTCATGGAAAGAAGCAGTGGAACAATACCTCAGTCCCAGACAAGGGCGCGATGGACAGAAGTAACCATTTTCTAGACTTCTGTACCTGATAATGCTTCACTATGAAACCTTTCTAGTCCAGGTGCATACAGTTGGCTGATCTTAACTTCTAAGTGACATGGCATTTGTAAAATTTATGCAGAGATCCCATAGTACAAACCAAGGAGACTGAAAACATACCAGTATTTGTAGCAGAATACTAGCTGAGAACATAAAAGCGAGACCGGCAAGCCTGCGTCGAAACAAACTCAGTTTAGAAACTAGTCAGCAAAACACAAAAGCACATGCACAGGTTTCAATTCCATATCAAAGCTTCCAACTTACACTGTAGAGGACGGCAGTAAACATGTTGCGACACCGCAGCACCAGCGCATCAAAACAGAAAGCGATTAGAAATTGAAAGATACATACTTGAAAGCAAGTGCATATGTATTCCTAGTATGGATGAAGACATCTGAGAGAAATAAACTTCACAGCAAATTAAGTAGACAGGTTACCCCCCACAACAACAAAACAAGAAGACGAACTCAAGCTCACAACCCAGACAAACTAAAGTCTACGCCTCAAGGCTCCAAGCACCATCAATAGGTTAGGTCACTCTGATCAAATCGAATCAACAATGGCATTATGGCAAGTGAAAAACTTTCCGCACAAATTCACTACTTTCATGTCTAAATTCTGAATTATTTTCAAGGAAACCAAACAGATGTATATCCCTCCAACCAGAGCAGCCCTCTTCTTTGCCTACGGGAGAAAATCCGACTAGTCAGAAGCCCTATCAAAACTGAGTTCAGTGGAGCTCAACGAAGCGGGAACCTAGCTAGAAGGCTATAAATTAATCGATGCAAACTGCAAGAGGTAGGTGGGAATTTCGAATCTGTTAAAGAATTAAATAGAATTGATGAAATTGCAAGGAAGAAGGATCAATAAGTCGTACCTTCAACCGTCATCGCCATTTTCTGCGACTACGAGGAATAGAAAGCTCTAGTGGATTTTCACTGGTCGCTCGTGAGCCGGAATAGCACAAGCAAAATGAAGGAGCAAAACAGCAGAGAGCTTCCTGAGAAAAGAAGAACCAAGAAAGGAGTACGGCGTGATTCTTCTTCTTCTCTTCTTCCTGCCTTTTGCCGGTTGCTGAAGGAAAAAGGAAGAGGAAGAGGGAAGAAGGAGAAGAGGAGGAGAATATTTAATTTTGTTTTTCTTTGTTGCAATTCTTTACATTTTGGTCAATGAAATTTCATTAGGCCCGTCATTGCCTGGTTAAGTATATTAGTCCATATTCCCTAGCCCACCCAATTTCCCATTCTTTTATCCAAATATTTTGTGGCCAATACTACCGTGCTGCTATTAAAAGTGCGGCACCGGTGACGCCGATTGTGATTGGTCTACATGGACAGTGACATGGCACTGATTAAGCTTATTAAATCCTAATCTAAATTAGGAGGTTATGAGTCGGTCAAACCGCCACCATGCAAGATAACGGAGAAGCTTTATTCCGTCTTCTTATCTCCGTTTTTCATTTTCTTTCTTAATTCCTATAAAATTCATTTTACTTTTGTTTTTTTTTCCAATAACAAAAATACAACAACAACGAAACCCAAAACCCAGCGTGTCTTCATCGCCCTCTCACACTGTCGGACTGTAATTTCGGCCGATTCCTCCGTTGCCAATTTGGAGGAGTTCAAGCATAGAGACGCAGATCGTTCAGCTTCTCGATGGCGCCGAGCGGGTTTACTAATATATATTTAGGATCGAGGGGACTGGAAATTGGGAAGGTGGCCGAGGGAAGCTTCAGAAAGTCCGTCTCGGTGCCACTCCGTCTATCCTCAGCTTGTGCTCCCCGATTGCTCCATCGAGGTAACGACGATTCGATTATCTATCTTCACTTTTTTATCCCATAATGATTTTCAACCAAGCGTTGGTTGGGGGTTTCTAGGTTAAACAAGTTTACTGAAGTTCTGTTGTTGGTCGTTTGTAAAACTACTACTGCTACAGCAGCATTGGTTGGTTTGTGGTTGTAGATTGAATTGATATTGGCAATTTTACCGAATTTCTGTTGATGTCGTTTGTGAATCTGCTAGCTCTAGCATTGGAGATTCTAAGATTTCAGGGGTCGAGAGCAGGTGAGAAGCTATTGGTGTTTTGCTTTCACGGTTCTTGAACAATCAACTCAACTGAAGCTACTGAAATTTGTAGCTGGTTGTAGAGCAAATATTGGACTCGTGATCTTCATTAAGAGTCATGCACTGCAGGTTTATTTTTACATCTGGTCTACCTTTGCATAGCATATCAAATTATTTTGTACATGATAGTTCTTAAATTTAGTATTCAGTAAGTTGTCATTAACACAAAGACTTGATGGAGGGTCTCTAAATGGCAAGTTGAAGTTTTCCCAACTATTTCTGTTCTTGCAGGTACTTGGAGTGGTGAATGTCTACTTTGCTGATGAAGGCAGTGAGGAAATATTAGAGGAATTTTACAATGCTATGGGCCCGGATAGTATAACAACACTTTAAGTGTTGTTATACTAACAACATGATTCATTAAGGGTATAAGAGTAAACTTACCTATAATATAATATAATATAATATAATTAAATTGAAATATCTCAATCCCTAGATCACTTTCGATCTCCTCCCCTACTCCGGCCCCAAATTCATGCTCTTTCTCATCTGCAACTCCGCCGTTCTTTCTCCGACCAGAGCTTCGCGACCACCACTGTCGGCGAGGGGAACATGCAGTCCAACGGCATCGCCCAAACTCTGACTCTCCCATCTGCCCGGCCGCGAGAACTCCAGATCTGGCGCTTTCAATCATGCGGACAGGCGCAACAGAGTAGGAAACAGAGAATCATTGAAGGTCGGGATCGAAATCAAGAGCGGCGTCGGTGGGAAAAGAATGAATTGTTACTGCGGAACCTAGAGCACAGGACGGAGATCGATCGAGCTGGAGGGATAGGATTTGCAGCATTCTGATGAATACCAGCCTCGCCCGCCCTTCCTTCTTCTTTTCCCTCTCTTTCCCCGTTTCTAGTCATTGAAGTTATTTTCACCTCGCCGCTCACAGAAATACAGGGAGGGAGAAAGAAAGAGAAGAAAAAAAAGAGTCGTTTTCCAGTCTGCAGTTTGGGGCGAGGAATCTGTGTGGGTTTTTGGTGCTTGCTTTGCTTTGCTGAGAGAGAGAGAGATAGAGAAAGCTGTTCACTTTTTACCAGTGGGGAGATGAAGGAAGGGGAAAGGGGAAGGGGGAGGAATATCCGGTGTTTAGGGATGGAGTTTGTGGCGGGCGGCGGTGGAAATCAAATCGGCCGGCCAATCATTAATTTCGATTCCTGAATTAATTTCCCAACTGAAATTACTTATTAGTAGCATCTCATCTCCCATCCACCTTGAATTCAAATTTGATGAACGTGAAAAGATTAGTTGTTCCATTCACCCTCATTGCCGACACTATACTCGAAGCTAGCTAGCTGGAATCAATTACCACCATTACCATCAACTTCCCTTTCAATTACTACTTCTCTTCACCACCATTACCATCATCTTCATCCACAAATATTTCATAAACACACCAGAAATCTCATAATCCAGACCACACATAAGATAAAACAAACATACCAGAAACCTCTTAATGCAAACCACAAGTCTCCTAAAATAAACCAAAAACCTCTCAAACCAAACCACAAAATTCTAAAAAACACACTAGAAACCTCATAATGCAAACCACAAACTCCGTAAAGCAAAACAAAAAAAAACTAACAAAAAACCTCCTAGTGCAGACCACAAACACAATAAAACAAACCAGAAACCTCGCAAATCAAACCATAAAATTTTCGAAAGCACACCATAAACTTCATAATGCAAACCAGAAATCTCCTAATGCATGCCACAAATCTCCTAAAACAAACCACAAACCTAACAAAGAAACTTCTTAATGCAAACCAGAAACCTCCTAATGCATACCACAAATCTCCTAAAACAAACCAAAAACCTCACAAAGCAAACCACAACATTTGCAAAAGCACACCAAAAACCTCCTAATGCAAACCACAAACATAGTAAATCAAACCACAAAAAAGCAAACCATAAACGTCCTAATGCAAACCACAAATATATTAAAACAAACCAGAAACCTCACAATGCAAACCACAAAGTTTTTGAAAACAAACCAGAAACTTCTCAATGCAAACCACAAACACAATAAAACAAACCATAAAAGGCATAAAAAAATATGAGAAACCAAACCATAAATCTCACAATGCAGACCATAACATCCGGTGGTCGTTGACCGTTGACCGGTCAACGAAGACCGTTGACCGAACTCCGGTGACCGTCAGTGAGCAGATTCCGACGCCGATAGGCATATTCCGGCCCCGGTGACTAGATTCCGACGCCGGTAAGCATATTCCGGCCACAAAACAGCATATTCCGGTGATCGGCGACCATTTTCCGGCGATCGGTGGCAGAATTCCGACGACCAAATTTTTGGGCAGAAAATAAAATAAAATTTATTTTTTTATTTAAATAGATTTTTCATAATGACACTTATACCCCTGCTTTGATTTTACACTAGGTCAACTCATTTAATAAAAAGTCATCACAATCCTAGCTTCCTATTGGTTGGGACTAGTGTTGTTACAATAACAACACAATGGGTGTTGTTACAATAACCGGTCCGCAATGCTATATAGTATTGGTGCTATAGGTTTTTGTCTTTATGGTACAACTTGAATTTGTACCTTTATGTTATGGTACAATTTCAGATTGTACCTATACTTTTTGTACAAATTCTTTTATGGTACAACTTGAACTTGATCCTTTATGTGATGGTACAACTTCAAGTTGTAAAGTTGTACCATAACATCATGATACAAATTCCTTTATGGTACAACCTAAACTTATACATTTAATGTTATGGTACAACTTCAAGTTGTACATTAAATCACCAATACTATATAGCATAGTAGAAGTGCTCGGAAATATTATGGTATTGCAATGTTTGCAGTCGGGTTTCCCCAGGAAAAAACCAAGCAGAAGAAGCAGTTGAGCAAGCAACTTTAGTCCGACAACTGGCTAGTAGGACATTGCTTGTTAATGTAGAAACGTAGTAGGGCGTAGCACTAACAATCATATCTTCTGTCAAAGATGTCAAGAGATTTCCATGGCCTGAAGTTTTGGATGATGAATAGGATCTAGTAGAGAAGATGCTTAATCCATATCATAAACGTCTTAGAGGCTAGAGCTCAACAAGTGCTTTTTAGCTCTCCAGACTATAGTTTCGCTTAAAATCCTTATGGAAACTGTAATTATTTTCTTCACCCCTTCCCAAATGAGTAAATAACTCATGTATACGGTCAACATAACCAAGAAAAAAAAAACATCTCGTCTTGTTATGATGAATGGAATGATCTAGAACTTGGGAGCTTTCTCCTTGGTCTGTATGATTTGGGAAGAACCTTGTTCAAGTATAAGAGTTTGTTGAGAGTTAAGTCAATGAGCCAGATACTATTTTGTTTAAGATTCAACTATAAAGCCATTTTTTAACATTTTATTTCCCAATATTCTTCAACATAACAATAATATCCCAACCGATCACGGCGATCAGCTTCGCCTTGTAAGATTCAAAGATGAAGTTTAAGGAAACAAGAAGGAAAGTTAAGAGTATAGTTGGTCGTAATGAAAAAGGTAAGAGCAATATAATCAGGCCAGATGACGATGGTATGAAAAGCCGAGGTTCCAGCTACTACAGTATTCAGAATCAGACACCATGAGAACCATCTGTATGCACAAAAATAAAATAGGAATGATAAGTGTTCATCTTCAGCAAAGAATACGATCATACATGCATTTGAACCTATCTGCTTCTTCCTTTCATGTCAAACAATGTGGTGGGTTTGATTGTGGCCTGCTACTGCAACTAATTTGAAACAATTGTAATTAGGCAAACCAGAGAATCATAACCATACCTTGTTTTAGTTTTGGCATGCTCTCTTTTGAAGGGTCCTAGAACCACAACATTAACACTCTTTAGTTAGCTCCTCCATTCTCTACGTTGGATTCAGTTTCAACGATTCCGACAATGGGATCGGGCGCCCAGCCCAAGGGGGACGACGCAGTGGGAGGGATCAGAGCGTCTTGTACGGTGACGACAGAGCAGCTCGACCGAGACAGAGAGACGCTCAAAATCAGTGATTTATCATTT